TAAAATAAATTCACTTATTATGATTTACTTGAGGAAAGTAATAAAAACTATTTATTTAGTTATTTTATTCGTTTTTTAGCAATTGCTAGCTTGTGCTGTCTGGAATACCTACCAATCCAATTTTCATTTGTATAGCGTGTCTAATTCTGATGCATGCAGGAGACTAAATCGTTGGAAGAAAAGAATTCCTGGATTTGAAAAATAAGGAAGGATTTGCAATATAGTATGAAAGAGAGAAACAGAGAAAAGAAACCTCGAGACCAAGAATTGATACAAAAGATATCTTCCTCTTCTGAGTGAGGCACAAAGTGCTATTTCTCCCGAAGTAGATCCTACTACGCCCGAAATTTCCCAAGATACCACACCCGCTCTAACCATGACCAAAAAACCATCAATCGAAATCTCAATCTTCTGCTGAATTGGGGCAAATGTCCATTGATCAAGCACAAAGTACTATTTCTTCCAAAATAAAAACTCACTATAATCAAAAGTGGAACAAGATTTAATGTGTGTATTTATTAACGAGAAGGCCATTCGAATTCTATATCTGATAAACGTATTACTGAAAATATGCTAGATGGAGGTGATCTAATTCCGGGTTCTGCGTCACATTTAGCGAATAAAAAGAAGCATCAAAAATAAGTTGAGCGATTTGAAAGTTTGCGCAACTCGTATTGAAGTCAGATACTTTGAATATAGGGATGTTAAACAGCTGACTCAACCGTGGTTGAACCGCAGTTGAGGCTGAACCAAAATCAACCGTGGTTGAACCAATATGGTTGAACCGCGGTTTGTCGATCTGATTTACATAAATAACCAATTAAATTTTTAATCATTCTATTCTCAAGATAGACAAGAATTTAAATAGGAAAAATAGCAAGTAAAAGTTACACATCAACCTTTTGTTTTTATAATATATTATAGTCAAACAATTTATTTATTTATTTTTACTATTAAGTTTAGAAACATTTGGATAGATTAGATTATCTGTCTGTTTATTATTATAAATAGAATAAATAATATTTTTACTACAATTAAGAAAGTGTTTAATTCATTTTTGAAGTAATTCTTTACATATAATGTCTAATGACAATGATTCTGACAACAACAACATTTATTTTCCTGAGTTTGAAATTAACAGAACAAGAAAACGATGATTACAATGACAACAATGACTCTATTTTAGATAATATAACAAATATTTGAAAGTCTATCTTCAACTAATAATATTTGCTCACCTCCTGCAATGGAAAATATATCTAAGTAATAAAAGTAAAACAACATCTGCGGTTTGGAATTTTATGTATAAAAAATATAATAGTCAAAATGAAGTTATAGGAATTGTTTGTAGTTTATGTGAAAAAAATTATGCAAAAAAATCATCAACACGACCACTTATAGATCATTTAACAAAAGAACATAGTAATATTCTTTCTACGACAAATCAATTACAAAAACCATATAAAGAAAATGATAATAAAAGAATAAAAGAATGTACAGATGCTGTTATTAATTTTATTGTTGGGTTCCAAATGCCATTTTCAGTTGTAGGAAATTTTTGGTTTAAAAAATTATGCAATATCTTTGATTCATGGTATATCTTACCAACATGTCAATCTTTACAAAATCAAATTTATCAAATATTTGAAAATCATCATAATTTAATTGCAAAAGAATTATCAGAGCTTACAGTAAAAGTATTGCATGTATATGTATATTATATTAAAAATCGTTGTTTAAAATTAACCACTCATATTTAAAGTATGTGATCAACAACGGTTATTAAAATTGGCCAATCAGATCTTAGTATATGATCGACAAACCGCGGGTTTAAACCACGGTTCAAACCGGTCTAACACGGTTTTTAAACCGAACCGAACCGACTCAACCATTTAACATCCCTATTTGAATATCGGTCAGAATAGAAGAAACAAATGGTAAAGAGTATTTTTGATTTGTTGGTTCAATTTTTTATTTTAAAGTCTTTCTTGATTATTTACAAATGTAATAATTTAATTTAATCATAAATAAAATAAATAAATAAATCATTTTTTAAATAAATAAAATAAAATGATTATTTTAGAAAGGTTTACGAACTACAGATGAGATGGGATTTACTTTATAAAATTCAATGGTTTGTTTTGCTTTAGCAGCAATATTTTCTGGAACAAAGCCATATTTTTTAAATACTTCCTTATAAGGCCCAGAAGCACCAAACGTCGTCATACCATAAGTGGCATGAGCATATTTAGCCCAACCAAATGTAGAGAGTACTTCAACACTTAATATTGGAATGCCATCAGGAAGAACTGATAATTTATAATCTTCAGATTGTTCTTCAAACAGTTCAAATGATGGTAAAGAAACTATACGACTATTGATGCCGTGCTTTTCTTCCAATAATTTTGCTGCATCTACAATAAGCGAAACTTCAGATCCAGTTGCGATTAAAGTGATTTGAGCATTCTTACACTCTTGTAGAACGTAAGCACCTCTAAGAGTTTTCTCAACTGAAGAACCTTCCAACTGAGGAAGATTTTGACGCGTAAGAACAAGTACCGATGGAGCATCAATTTTTTCTATTGCTGCCAAATAAGAACCAGAAACTTCATTACCGTCAGCAGGACGGAAAATTAGTATATTTGGTAATGCACGAAGACCAGCTAATGTTTCAATTGGCTGATGAGTAGGACCATCTTCACCTAATAATAATTATACACAGTAATAATAATAACAACAATATTGATGATGGTTAAATCTTTAATTATTTAATTATCAGTCTATCCATATGCATCTATATTATTTACATACCTAAACCAATAGAATCATGAGTCATGATGTAGAGTACGCGAAATGATGAAAGCGCAGATATTCTTACAGCACCCAAAGCATAACTAATAAAATTCAAGAAAGTGCCACCAAATGGAATTATACCACCATAAGCAGTCAAACCATTCATGACAGCAGCCATAGCATGTTCACGTACACCGTATCTAATATATCTTCCAGAATACAGGCCTAGTCCATTACTATCAGGTTGGAAATCTACAGCAGTTTTCCAACGTGTCAAGTTAGATCCAGTCAAATCTGCAGATCCACCAATCAATTCTGGCAAAACATCCGTGATACTATCCAAAACTTTTTCAGATAATTTTCTAGTGGCAACTGGAGAATCTTTTGGTGTATATCTGGGTAATTTGTTAGACCATCCATCCGGTAATTTACCTGAAAATCTTCTTTTAATATCTTTAGCCTAAAAAAAATTTTTTTAAATGAAATAAAAATTTAATGGGAATGGCACAATGTAAAATATGTAAATAAATATCGGTGAACTTTTAATTTACCAAATCAGGATATTTAGAGCAATAATCTTCGAAAAGACAATTCCATTTAGCTTCTGCATCGATACCTCTTTTACAAAATTCTCCATAATAATTATAAACCTATTATTATATTATGCAAATTTACGTTAAATAAACGAATAAATATAATGGTTCTTTTTTTATATAAAATGATAATGGTAATAGTTACCTCATTGGGTACATGGAAGAATTTATCGGGATCAAAGTTGAATTTTTTCTTTATTTCAACGATATCATCTGGAGCTAAAGGGCTACCATGAACTTTTTCTGTGCCTTCATGTTTAGAACCTATACCAATTGTTGTTTTGATTTTAATGATAGAAGGCTTATCCTTGACAGATTTTGCCTTTTCGATTGCAGCAATGATCGAATCGAGATCACTGTCACCATCTTTTACAACCTGTGTATGCCAATCATATGCTTCAAAACGTTTATTGACATCTTCAGTAAAACTCACATTGGTATCACCTAATCGATTGATTTATTGGGAGAAAAAAAAGTTAATTGGGTTTTTTTTAATTGAATAAGAATTCATAATCAAAAAATCACAAGATACCATCAATAGAAACATGATTGTCATCATATAAGACAATTAAATTTCCAAGTTTAAGATGACTATTAAATAAATAATTATATATGAATAATGTATATGTATGTATGCACGTATAAATTCATAAATATGAAAAACATTGTATATTTTACCCAGCAAGAGAAGCAGCTTCAGAAGCAACACCTTCTTGAAGACAACCATCACCAACAATTACAAAAGTATGATTTGTAAACAAATCAAAGCATTCCTTATTAAAAGTGGAGGCTAAATGATCTTGAGCAATGGCCAACCCAACCGCAGAGGAAAATCCTAAAATAAATAGATAAAAAATACGTGTCATTGGAAATGATTCCAAGTTTAAATCAGTAGTATACTTCTTCAAACCAAATCAAACCATTATTACCTTGACCAAGGGGTCCAGTGGTTACTTCAATCCCAGGGGTCATATGAGATTCAGGATGACCAGGCGTTCTATCAATCAAAATATTAGAACGATTCATCGCGTGAATATGTATATATAATATAAAAATAAACATACTTGCTATCAGTTTGACGAAAATTTTTCAAATCATCTATGGTAAGATCGAAACCAAGGAGATGTAATAATATATATTGTAATGCACATCCATGACCATTTGATAACACAAAACGATCTCTGTTTATCTGATGCAATCATACATACATATATGTATATGTGTTTTAATTGAATAATTAACCAATATGTTTAATTTTTTAATTTTAAGTCATACCCATTTTGGATTTTTAGGGTTTGTAGTAATAAATTTTGAGAAAAGTGCGTGAGCCATTGGAGCACAACCCATTGGAGCACCTGAACATTAATAAACGATTTATTTATTTTTGAAACTAAACTAATAACATGCTTTGTTTAGTGTGTGTGTGTGTGTGTGTGTATATATTTTACCTGGGTGACCTGAATTAGCTTTTCTAACAACATCAGCAGCAAGAGTACGAATGGTATTAACGGAAAGTTGATCAATAGAGGTAACCATTTTTTCTTTAATGTTTTTTTTGAAAAATTATCTAAACAGCAGTTAACTTGTTACTTTTTTAATTTAAAAAAAAAAAAAGAAGAGATTTTTTTCAGAAACAAGATTATCCATTCCATTTTTATGAAGGAAATAACGCTATGGTACACACGAATCACACGCAATTGATAGATTGATAATAATGTCATAGATCACGTAATTAATCAATATATTAATATAGGAATTTCGATTTTAAATTTATTTAAAAACGATATTTAAAAAAACTATAAGAAATTTAGATAATTACAAAATAAAAAATAGTATACATTGGAATTCTATTTATTATTTATGTGAAAGATTGCATTTTGCTGCCATCTGATACTACTGGAGCATCGTCTGCTTCAAGAGTTTTAAGATTTTTAACGGCAGCAGGATTTTTAGGTTTGAGATCAGCTTCAACTAAAAAATCGAAATAGAAATCGAAAGAAATTATTAGTAATCATACAAATTTATGTATAGTATAATAATGATAACATGGAAGAAATATAAAATATTTACGAGCAGCACGACGTTCGATAGCATATCCGTGTGATAAAGCAACGAACATAACGGCAATCAAGAGAGCGGCAAAGAATGTAGATTTCATCATTTTGAATGTGTGTATGTGTATTTATTATTTTAATGGTTTATTTTATTAAAATGATTGTTTTATTATTATCAAAATAATCAAAATAATCAAGGAAGGATTTTAATGTTAATGAATGGTTTTCGATTTGTTGATGATTTTTGGTTTTTTTCGAATTGATATTAGAGAGAAAAGGAAACGAAATCTTTTTATAGGATTCCAACAATATAGTCGATATTGTATACGAAAGTCTAATTGTGAAACCTTTGACCAAATACTAAAAGAACAAATCAAAACTTTTATCATTTAACGCGAAATCCATTTTATGAATCTGAAACGACTCCAATAAAAATGAAATAACCCAAATTAATAGCTTAATATGGTAAGCACCAATGTAAAAATAACTGGCATATGTATGATGTCATTTGAATATGCAATATCAGGAAATTAGATAATAGTCCCAAGAGAAAATTTAATAAACCACAAAATTAATTAATGTCAATTATCGGTAGAAAAAAAGAAATAAAATCATTATTATATTTTTTCTTTCTTTGTCATATTTGGTTTCTGATGTTATCTTTGTGTAAGCTAATAATAGAATAAACACTACGCCAAAGAAGCTAATTAATTAGTCTTTATATTAGTATGGCTCGCGCTTGTTTCTTTTCATGTAGTGTAGTGGAACAAGGTATTAAGGATTAGTTAGTTAATGTTAATGCGTGCAACATTCAAAAATTTATCCGTCTTTATTGATTACCAGATAAGATATATCATAACAATGTTTGTTATTGGAATTTATTAATATGAAATGTTTAAATTCTCTTCTTGTCTTTGTATAACCTGAGTGGCTAAATACTGATTACAACCGAATTTATTTTATATATTATATTATTGTTATTACTATTGTTATTACTATTATATTCAATAATCTTTATTTTCCCAGTAAAAAAAGAAATCTACAAGGTTAAAATTTATTTATTAAAGTTGGATGGTATTTATGATAAGGACCCTTTTCTTACAATAGAATAATATGTCACCTTTTTTGAGTAACTATTCGATGAATTTAGTAATTCGAAACTAGAACGCAAGATGTGCAAAAGCAGGATCTCATTCATTCATTAAGCAATAATATTTATGAAACAACTTGTATAACTTTGTTATTATTATATATAATATTGATTTTATTATTATGTACATATTTCTAAAATTAATATCATTATATAAGTAATTTACAAAAAGCGGATTTAATTACATTTATAATTATGAAAAATGTGAATATAATTAATTAATTAGTAAAATGAAAAAAAGAATATTAAAAAACACAAGAGTTGTTTGATTATCTTATGCATTTTCGAATAAATTATCAACTATATCATTTCCAGATGTCCAAGTATTAAAAAGACTTTGTAATTGTAGACTAATACAACTTTCACAAAATCTTTTAAAAAATGAAATTTGTTTTAATGAAAAAATAAAAAGGAAAACGAAGTATTTTCTCCTTCATTGTCGTGCTTTTTCTTTTTCTCTCCGAGACAGTATTCCTTCTGGTTAGAAAAATGTTTCAATTTGTCAAGTTTACAAGGAATTTTTGAGATTTCAAATTGTGGTTTAATAATACTTTTCATTTTTTGTATTATTTTTTTTGGGGAATTTAATTTTTTTTTTTTAAAAAAAGAAAAAATTTTTTATGATCAACCATTTTACCCTTAAATGTTTGATTAACAATACTAATGTAAGATGAAGATTAATTTAATATTAAATGGGGCATGCAGACAAAGTGAACATTGGTATTACCAAGAATTTCAGGGATCAAAATTTAGTAACGTGATTATTTAAAATCTTCCATTTGTTATTATTATTATTACAGTATGCTCCAAATATCAATAACAGGGGTGGTATGTTACTATTTTTTGCCAGGGGCGTTTAACAATTGATTGTTGGTATCAAATTGCTATATATAACAAATTTACTATTACAGTCGGGGATATTACCAAATATGGAATTTCTAAATACTGTAATGATACGGTGCAAATCATCTATATATAATCATTAATTGCTTATAGTAACTTTCAAATTTAAAAAATCTATGAAAAAGAAAATTTGAGACAAATTTTTTTTTAGATTAATAGACTACCTTTTTAAAGCTGAATTGAATTGAATGGTGGGTTTTTTAAAATCCAATGTGTGGATCACATAATATTTCCTTTTGAGTATAGATGATCTGCACTGTATTATTCTATTTTAGTTATTTCTATTTTTATAATCTTTATCCAAGTTATTCTTTTACGTAATAAACAAATAAATGTGTTTATAATTACAACTAACCAAGTTATTCCTTTTACCCATTAAATATAGTATACATACATAAATGTGTTTATAATTTATAACCAATCAAGTTATTCTTTTACCCATTAAATATAATTAATATACACAAATAAATGTGTTTATAATTTATAACTGACCAAGTTATTCCTTTTACCTATTAAATATAATATACACACATAAAAATCAGTAACCTGATAAATGATTTTAATATTATATACAAATTCAATAAATTTTTCCTTTACCTGCAAATTCATTGATATCATTGATATCTCATTTAATACAAAAAAATTGATAATAAAAATAATCAATTAATATTATTTATGCTCTCTGGATCATGACTAAATTATCCACTTTACCCATTGAATATATATATACATAAAAATTGGTACAACATTCATAAATCAATAAATATATAAATAAGTTATTTAAAAAAAATTTTTTTTAAGTAATCCTTACATATGCTACCAGAATCAAACGATAACGAAGGTATTTTGGCCGAATCTTTTAATTTCGGGTCAATTTAAATTTTATTTCTATTTATATTTATTATCATTTGAATTCGTGCTACGTTTCATTATTATTATTATGTTATAACGAGCTTTTAACATTTTATTATTAATATATAACGCGACTGTATACATAGTAAGTTTGTTATAACGGATTTTATAGTAATATTAATATTAATGTTTAAAATTCGTTATAACAAGGTTTGACTGATTTTCTTTTTATTTTGTTTCTGTTTAACTCTTAATTATCTAATATTGCTCTCTTCTCCAATAAATATTCATATATAAATAATGTTAATTATTTAATCTTGCTCTCTTCTCCAATAAATATTTATATATAAATAATGTTAATTATAACATAATAATTAACATTCACGATTCCTATCTAAAAAAAAAAGTGCAATATATATAAACGTTGCTAAAAAACTATCCAAAAAGTACAATATATAAAATTTTTCCTTCTCCACATGGAGAAGCACATTTGCCCTTTGCAGAATTCCCGGGACCATGCATTTTCCGCAAAAATGCTTCACCATCTCTTCGCTTTATGTACTGTTGTTACTGCATATATTATCCAATTATCTAATAAAACATATAAATCTTTATTTACACTGTAAAAATCAAATCACAAATACTATACTTGCCTCAACCCTTGCTATTTTTGGTCTATTTATATGTTTTTGGCCACAAAATAGACTGTCTATTTTATGAAAAACTACGTCATTGTACAAAATAATTCTAGGATGTTTTGCATCCAACCAACTAACTACCTTTTAGGAGGTGTATATTTGGATAAAATTTGCACAACGATCTTTAAAACGCGTGATCGTAGATTTTTTATTGCATTTTTGGAATATTCTTTCTTAAAATTGTCGTCGTGGCACAAAAAGTTCCAGCGATTAAGTGACTCGCGCTATAACTGTAAGAGAATCAAAGAGCGAATTACTATATATCTGAAGTAAAATAAAAATCAACAGTTAATCTTTTTTCAAAAGCAATGAGATTGACTATAATGATATTTATTGTAATAAATAAAATATATGGCGTCATAATGTACAAAAGTCCAGTTATTAATTAGCTTCATATCCAAGATACAGTATATATAGAAATTCACAAAAATGTTAAAGATACATTTCACTGTTATTATTGAATAATAATTAATATGAATGATATCAACAGTAAAATATATATTAATATATTAATTAATTAATGAAAATATCAGTAGAGCCATTATCAGCAAAAAAAACATCACATTCTTTACCAGCTTCATTTGAGACTGATCAAAATTTTACTGGCTCTTCTTGATCGTTATTATCACTTTTGAAATGAGTCCATGTTCAACTACTCTTTTGTCTGTTTAGTTTGAAGACAAACCAGCCATGTTTCTCGTGAATAAAATAAATTATTGGTATATTTAAACACCTGTTTGCCATCATTAGATCAATAGTCAACAATTAATTCACTATTCACATTTGATTTAGGATCGTATGAAGTGTCCAGCCTTCTTTACAAAAACATTTTCTTTAGTTTCTTGAGAGTTTTTAAGATTTATAATCACAAACTAATATATTTTGCATAATTGATGAGACAGATAATATAAAATTCTATCCAGATATTGTTCCATGACAATTTCTTTAATGACAAAAATAATGATATTAATATACAATATTTACAAAAAAAACCATGCTTTTCTTTATTACATTCCCCAAAAAACATAAAGGGACAATGATTCTGGTATGAAATATGTTGACGTTTAAGTAACTCTATTTTATCAATCAAATGTTTTTTTTCTGCTAAATTTGAGACAAAAATCACAGGTTATACATAAGCCACTAAATCTTCTTTAAACCGACTGTCTAATTGACACATAAAACTTGTTCTTTTTCATTCATTAGGTTGCCCTTAAATATAAAATTAGGTTTCCTGTTACTAATTCAGTTTTATAAGAACTCATTGTTTTTATCACGAAGAAAAATTTCAAAATCTTTTATTATAATTGGAAATTCTCAAAGAAGATATTTTCAATTAAGATCCGGAAAAAAACTGGTTATTTTAAAATACTTTCATTTGTGTTTAAAAAAAATATGATGTATTTTCCATGAATAGGTAGAACATATAGATATGTGTTTTATCATCTAATTGATAGCAACATTCTGAAAAAATTTAATGTTTTATAGTTTTACATATAAACAA